GGGCAGCGGGATTAGTTTGGGGATTGATACAGGGATATGGGGAGAGCGGGGCAGCGGGATTAGTTTGGGGATTGATACAGGGCTATGGGGAGAGAGCGGGGCAGTGTGATTAGTTTGGGGATTAGTACAGGGCTATGGGGAGAGAGAGCTCTGCAGTGGCATTAGTTTGGGGAGGAAACCCCAGCAGACATGGGGAGAATGTGCAAACTCCACACAGTTGCCTGAGGCTGGAATCGAAGCTGGGCCCCTGACGCTCTGGGGGAGTAGACCACTGAGCCACTATGCCACCCCAGTGGGACAGTGTGATTAGTTTTGAGATTGATACAGGGCCATGCGGAGAGAGAATTGGGTGTTGGGATTATTGGGATTAAAATTGATAATGAAAGGTACATGGATAGGTTTAAAAGGATATGGGCCAAATGCAGGCAAATGGGACTAGTTTAGTTTAGGAAACCTGATTAGCATGGATGAGTTGGGCTGAAGGGCCTATTTCCATGCTGTATGACTCTAAGGTGATGGTGTAGGGAGTGTGGGGCCAGTCAGGGATCTTGCTGTGAACTGACTGGAAATTGTGGAGGTGAATTTCTGTTGTAAATGACTGGATTCCTGTGATTATCTGTGTGACTAGAATTAAGGGAGGGAGAGATGGGTGAGAGGGAGCTGGGGAGATGGGCAGAGTGCAAACATGGGATACTCTGTCTACCTGGAGAGATTAAGAACTGCCAAGGCTGGAGTCAGAGATAACACATCGTGGAGCATCAGAAGAGCAGGAACCTCCATTTCTGTAGAAGGGTCCCGACCCAATACGTCAACTTTCCTGCTCCTCTGATGCTGCCTGGCTTGCTGTGCGCCTCCAGCTCCACGCTGTGTTATCTCTGTCTACCTTGTAGTTTCAGTCAGGTTGGTCCTATATTTAACTGTCCTCTTCCTCCCTGCACCCCTTCCCCATTCTGCAGTCGCCCTACACCCTTCAGCCCAGTACCCTGCACTTCCTTGCTGTCACATCTCCAGCTCCTCTCATTTTCTTGCAGATCCAGCTTGATTCTGAGGAATCTGGGATCTGCACAGAGTTGTCTGGACAAGCTTGTGAGCACCTTGTCAGCAAGCCCCTGGGCTATCAGCTCGTGCTGCTCACACTTCCCCTGTCTACACCCTCCACTTAACTCCACGAGGTCTGACATCCCAGAGCAGGCTGGGAGTTGCAACATGTTTCATACAAATGTGTGTCCCATCTACAGTCTTGGGTTAGGAGAAATTGTCCTGCAGCTACCGCCAAGGGCTATCCAAGGGTTCACTTGTATGCCAGGGCTCAGTTTTGATTTACTTAGGTACTGTGCTGACTAAACAGTTGAAAGAGTTTGAGCTGATTAGAAGTTTTGTGACTGAAATCATGTCTGACTAATGCAGTATTCAGGGAGTGGCTCTGGGCACTATCTCGTGGGTTTAGAAAATATTCCCTCAGATTTCTCATCGGGTGGAGGTGAGCAATAATTCCCCGCATTTACAGGATGTGACAGGTTTTCGACCTTCAGATATGGTTATGACAGATTACCATAGAATCACCAAATTGCTACAGTGCACAGAGAGCCATCCATAGCCTATCATGTCTGCCTGGCTCTCTGTGCATTTTAATTTAGTGCTAATCTCCTGCCTATTCCACATATCCTGCACTTCCATTCACTCCCTGTCAACACTGCAATCACTCCCTGTCTACTCCGCGGTCACTCCCTGTCTACTCCGCGGTCACTCCCTGTCTACTCCACGGTCACTCCCTGTCTACTCTGCGGTCACTCCCTGTCTACTCCACGGTCACTCCCTGTCTACTCTGCGATCACTCCCTGTCTACTCTGCGGTCACTCCTTGTCTCTTCTATGGTCGCTCCCCGGTCAATCCCTGTCTACTCTGTGGTCACTGTCTGTCCATTGCCTGGTCATTCCCTGTCTACTTTGTGGTTACTCCCTGGTCACTCCCAATCCACAGTCTGCTCACTTCCTCCCCAGTCCCCTCCCTTGTCCTGTGCCTCTATGAGCTGTTGGTTTTATTGCTGTGGATATGCCTCAGTGCCTAGTGGCCACACCTCACTCCATACCTTACAGAGCAGGGAGGGGCCAGCAATGAAAAGTTAGTGAGACTCGTAGTGACAGGCAGAGCTGTGTGAGCACAGAGAGAGCAGTCAGAGAGAGTAAGCAGGCAGCTAACCGCAGTCTCACAGTAAACAGCTGGAGCAGAGAGTCTTTCCTTCTCACTACTTCCCACATTCTGTCTTTGGAAAATGTACAAAGGGCAGGATTACAGGAACCGATTGTCACCGGATAGCAGGCTCTATCAGGATATGTTGAAATCTACCGAATCCAGGAAAGGTACTTGCTTCGGATGGTGGTGGAGTTTGTTTCCAGCTGAAAGGTGGGAGGGATCGAGAGGGATCGGGTATTTAGGATGTTGCTGTCGGACCAGTGCTGTGCTGCTGTTAACCCTTGGAGGTCTGGATTTGCTCTTCTGCTTTCCTCTGTCCCTTCTTGTCAGGCAGCACTCTGATCTCTGCTCTGTTAGTATCAGACCGATCTCCCCTTTCTCTCTCTTCCCTTCATCACTAAGCCTGCCTGTTTCCAACCTGACAACACCCCCCTCCCCACGCACCACACTTCACCCCTAGCTGAGCACATGGGCTGCAGAAGCCCTCACCCTGTCCATTCGATCTTGGCAGGTTCTGATGATCTCAGCTCACTCCCAGCTGGTTCTCCTTATTTCACCCTCCATCAAAATTCTGCTGCCCCACATCTGAACACAGACTGTGTCCTATGCACCTTTCACCCCCGAGATCACTGATCTCCCAATGATTTCTGGGCAGGCAACATCTCAATTTTAAGGATTTTTTTCCCATGTTTTCAAATGGCTGCCTGAGCTGAAGGCCTTCCTAGCTCTGTAATCCCCTCCAGTCCTGTACACTCCAATATCCAGCTTTGTGTTCCTCTCTGGTAGAAACCCCTCAAATGTTGGCGGCTGTACTCAGATTCACTCCCTAAATCACTGCACCGCGAACAGTCACTTTCAATGCCTCTTCTCATTCAGACTGTAGCACACTCAGTTCTGAGTCACAGGCTCGTGGGGCCAAGTCTCACTCTGGGACATGAGTGTAACATCCTCATAATCACTGAGGGAGCGCTGCACTGTCGGAGGGTCAATGCTGAGGGAGCGCCGCACTGTTGGAGGGTCAGTGCTGAGGGAGCGCCACACTGTCGGAGGGTCAGTGCTGAGGGAGCACCGCACTGTCGGAGGATTAGTACTGAGGGAGCGCTGCACTGTCGGACGGTCAGTGCTGAGGGAGGGAGCACTGTCGGAGGGTCAGTGCTGAGGGAGTGGGCACTGTCGGAGGGTCAGTGCTGAGGGAGTGCCGCACTGTCGGAGGGTCAGTGCTGAGGGAGTGGGCTCTGTCGGAGGGTCAGTGCTGAGGGAGTGGGCACTGTCAGAGGGTCAGTGCTGAGGGAGCGCCGCACTGTCGGAGGGTCAGTGCTGAGGAAGTGGGCACTGTCAGAGGGTCAGTGCTGAGGGAGTGGGCATTGTCAGAGGGTCAGTGCTGAGGGAGCGCTGCACTGTCGGAGGGTCAGTGCTGAGGAAGTGGGCACTGTCAGAGGGTCAGTGCTGAGGGAGTGCTGCAATATTGGAGGGTCTTCTCTGTGTATTCTGGTGAAATGTCCTGACAAACATTTATGGCTTAATCAGCATCACAAACTGAAATGTCATCTGAACATGTGTTGTTTTGGTGGGATCTTGTTGTGCACTAACTGGACAACATTAAGTCTATGGCAGAAAGCACAGTGCTGATGATGAAACACTTTGAGATGTCCCAGGACCCAGAATAATGTTTTCACCGTCACCCTCTTGTTCCCTCCTTTACCATAGCATGGCACATTAGACAGAAGAGGAAGGTTTCTGTGCAGCTATTGTAATATTTCCTTTCGTCAACTGACACACTTAACACTTCAGTGAAACTCTGTTTTAGTACAAGGCAGGCAGTCTGTCAGTGTAAATTGTTATATTGAACAGACAGATTGTCTCAACTCTCTCTCTGAATGCTCTTCAAACATTCACCATATCAGAACCCTCTAATACTTCATCCATTATGGAAATGGTACCATCTCACTTTCCATCTATAACTGCTGTCATCAGTTTCTCCAACTCTCTCTATCTCTCGCTCTCTGTCCCTCTCTCTCTGTTCCTCTCTCTCTGTCCCTCTCTCCATCTCTCTGTCCCTCTCTCTCTGTCCCTCTCTCCATCTCTCTGTTTCCCCTCTCTGTCCCTCTCTCTCTCTCTGTCCCTCTCTCTCCCTCTGTCCTTCTCTCTCTCTCTGCCCCTCTTTCTGACTCTCTCTGTGTACCTCTGCCTGCCTCTCTGTCCCCCTCTCTGTCTTTCTCTCTGTCTCTGTCCCTCTCTCTCTCTTTCTGTCCCTCTCTCTCTCTCTGTCCCTCTTTCTGACTCTCTCTCTGTACTTCTCTCTGTCTCTCTGTCCCTCTCTCTCTGTCTTCTCTGTTCCTCCCTCCCACTCTCCGTCCCTCTCCCCACGCCTTCCTGTGGTCTGGAGTTGGAATCCTGGTTATTGATGGCTTGCCAGTGGGTTGGTTGGAAATATTTCCTTCTTTCAGAATGTAAATGAAGCTAGTTGCTGTGACAGCGAAGATTATTCACCACAATCAGCACATGGAGTTTTATTAACCAAATTCTGGGCCTTCACACATACACAGCCTCGAATAGAAACCATGATGTGTGAGTGCGCGCACACACACAAGGACTGTTCAGTGTGGACTTGTTCTGCAAAGTTTTGCATGTTGCTTGTTAGAACAGTCCAGGTCTAATTATTACTCTCTTAGTGGTCAGTCTGGTTCCGATTATTACTCTGAGTGGCCAGTTCCGGTCTGATTATTACTCCTGGAGTGGTCAGTCCGGGTGCGATTATTACTCCTGGAGTGGCCAGTTTCGGTCCGATTATTACTCCTGGAGTGGTCAGTCCAGGTCCTATTATTACTCCCAGAGTGGATGGTCCAGGTCCGATTATTACCGCTGGAGTGGTCAGTCCGGGTCCGATTATTACTCCCGGAGTGGCCAGTTTCGGTCTGATTATTACTCCTGGAGTGGTCAGTCCGCGTCCGATTATTACTCCCGGAGTGGATGGTCTGAGTCCGATTATTACTCACTTTATTCTGATTTAACTATTTTAAATGTTTTTTTTTCCTAAGATGAACGGGATCGAGTCCAGAAGAAAACTTTCACAAAATGGGTGAACAAACACCTGATGAAGGTGAGTTAATGGTCATCACAGAGGGAGAGGGAGTGACTGGGGAGTGGTCATCACAG